AGCCCTGGCCTATAATATGGTCTGAAGGCATATAAGGTACCCACTATGTTGAAGCTAAGCAGGTCTGTGGCTGGCCTGAGCTTGGAGGGAAGACCCTGAGAACCACCTGTAGCCAGCCTGAGTTCCACCTTGGGAGAACGGTGGAGTATAAATATAATACATAAACACTGTTGCAGTACTACCCATGGGGGGTCCCCCCGTGTAGCCAGCACAATGTACAAGCTGACTTATAAACAGACTTCTTTCCCAAGAAACACGGAACAGGTGGAGAGCAATAAAGAACAGCCTTGCATTTTTATGCTATAGCAGTGAAATTGCCCCTCCAGCTAACTCTTTAAAAAGTTCTTTGATGCTTTGCTAACGTCCTCGAATTCCCCAGCTGAGGCTGTTACCTGTATGCTGCTTACATGGCTTCAGTACCCGGCCCTTGTCTATTTATAATCACAAAGAAGAAACCTTGTTAAAGATGCAGTGCAGCTGTACCAGCTATAATAGACATTTCCACACCATTTTGCCAAAAGTCTCTCTCAGGAGATGAGACTTGGAAAGTCATATGTTTCAGGGTTCCTCAAGCCAACATCCTGCATTCCTTCAGGTGAAATTTACCCACAGTGGACTTAAACCCCGTAACATACTGTTGCTGACATGTTCTCAATACCTTTATCAACTGGACAACTATCTGAGAGGGATGGTTGAACTTGGAGTCCTGTGCAGAGCAGGGGTTGGGACCCGCTGGCCCTCGGGCCCCTTCCGACTCCGCTAGTCTATGATTCTGTGAATAGAAGTATTGTAGGTCAGCAACTGAAATCAGCAGCATGTGCCATTATCTGTCCAAATGCAGCTGTATAAGCAAGTAGCTGGTAAAGGGATGGTTGGGACAAGCAGCAATGCTAGTGGTACATGGCCAATTTTGCAAGTTGTTGGTTTTATATTCCTATCAACCATTTGTCTTAGAAATCACAAATCCAGAAGTGTGAGTGTTTTGTTCTTATCCTCAATTGGCAGATAGGAAATATAACGATTCCCTCGGCTTTGTAAGGATAATCCCTAGGAAGACCTAATATGGGAGACTACTTAAGTATGTGCAGTAGTTCAGCGGCTCTTTGAGAAGTAGTGTTACCATCTCTGAGGATGTAGAGCAGAATGCAAAGTGCTGCCATTATCCCCCCCCCTTTTCTCTTTCTCATGCACACAGACACCCCCCCCCCCCCCCCATTAAACCTATGCTATTGTCTGTCTCAAGCTTCCAAAAGCCTTTGGGAAGTATCTTCTGATACAGCTCCCAGCTTGTTTCAGTTTAAATTCTACAGATGGCAAGTTCTTCTTGTTTGTGTGCTGTCTGTTTCTTGTTCTGAATTGCACACCACTGAAACAGTCCTGTAGAATATCCCTTCAGATGCTGGGAAATTATGGAAAGCTGTGTGTCTTTGGGCCTGTGTCTTCATATGCTGCAGCTCTTGGCTTCTTTCTGGAGTAACTAACTGCAGTGACAGAGTAGTAGGCAGCAGAATTCTTTGTTGCAGTGGCTGCTTCCTCAGGCGGACCTTTGGGCATTAATTCTGATGTGGATGGATGGTCCTCATAAATGTTTAAGCCTAGCTGTCTGCCTGTATGTGTACCTTTGTAAAGGATCCAGCAGGTGTATTGCTATAACTTGAACATTCCTTCAAGCTTCAGTTTCAGAAGATAATCATGCCAAGCTTAAAACCTATGTGCACGCCGAGGTCCAGTGAAAAACAACTGTATGTCATGGGCCTTTATTAATGATGTAAATGTCCATGGTCTGTTTGCAAAACATGTTCCTCTGCACAGGCAAGAATAAGAAGCACTAGCCCAAGACCATTTGAAGACCTGCCTTAGCATTCCTTTAGCTTCTGACCCTTCACTAGCCCTTCCTTTAAGCCTTTATTCGCAATCCTACATGTCAGTTGCAAAACCATCAGCTTGCTGAGCACTGTTATTGCATTTACATGGGATGGCATTGCTCTGTTTGTCCTACCTATTTAGCCCTAATTGCTTTACCAGTTTAGTAGCATCCCTTTTCTCCAAGTATGCAGAACATGCTCATTTATTTCTGCTCAATATCCTGTTGCTCTGCTCCACAGTGTTGACCATCCCCAGAGACTGCCCGGTTGCCCTGGCCGTGGAGTTCACAAATGCTCGCTTTCCCCCTTCTTCACTCGTTCATCAGAACACGCCCACATTCCTCGCACGAGCAGTTATAAAGCTATTTCATGCCTCCCGGAGAAGTCCCCGATCTCTAGAGATGAAACCATCGAGGTGTTTAAAACCCATTTTGATTTTTCATCTCTACTGAAGGTGGACGGGGCAGGGGGCTGTCAGTTTCCTTGCAGCTGATTGCAGGCACTGTGCATAATTAGCATCTTCAAGAGTCTGCACTTCCAGCAAACAAGTCCTGATGAGTTTCCTGGTTTGATGAGGACATGCCTGTGGGTCATCTTGTTCCTAGGCTGAAATGCCAGTAGGTAGTGGCCTTTGCCACGTATATATGTTTTTATCCCTGTTTGGAGACATCTGTAGGTGTAACTGAAAGCCTGTGAGAGAAGCCCTTTCGATTTATATCCTGCCTTTTTCCTACAAAGGGCTGAAGGCAGCTTACATCATTCTCCTCCTCCATCTTATCCCCACAACAACCCTGTGAGGCAGGCTGGGCTGAGAGTCTGTGACTGGCCCAAAGTCACCCAGTGGGCTCCATGGCTGAGCGGGGACTAGAACCCAGATCGCCTGAGTCCCAGTCCCAGTCCCGTGCTCTTAGCCACTACGCCCCACTGGCTCCCTTGGGCTGCCAGCCTTTTCCCTTCCTGCTGCAGGGCTGGGGCCAAGCTGCTCTCTCTCTCACCCTGGCTAATGTAGGATGCCATACCGAAATGGGGTGCAGTGGGGGAGTGAGGTGTCATTTGTACGTTAAAATGCTTGGTCAAAATAGGCCGTGGTGGCTTATTGACTGTTCTACCAGGCCTAAGCACTAGGATTCTGGTTTCTCTTCTGCAGGAGTGGAACGGTAATACCTGCCTTGGAATTTAAGCCTAGCAGCTTGCTACGATAAGCCCCCTGTTTTCTTATTCTGGCTCCACAGTTGCAGCTTATTGAAGTCTGGTGGAGATCTACTAAATGCCCCTTCCAAGTGGGTGGGCTAACATTTTATGGTATCAGAACACAGCCAGGGTGAACTGTGGGTTGGCATTCTGAGCGGAACAAGCTGAACATGGTGGTGTTCGTGACCAGATCCCCGCTACTGACCAGCAGGAAAGTGCGTTGGAAAATGTGTTCACAGCACAATAGGCGAAGAGGAGCAGGCTCCTAAACCTCGTGTAATGGGGTGTGTGAGCGGTGCCAGTTTGCACGCTCCCCCCTGGAACCACAATTGTAGGAATTTATGTGCACGCGTGTGCACACGTTTCTATCCGCTCCATCAGCTTAAAGTTGTCCTCAGCCATGCTTCCCTTGTGCTGTTGTGTCTACCACAATTTCTACAGACTGTTTGGAGGAGGTTGTCTGCAGTTCTGAGCAGCCTCCAAGCCAGTTAATTTCATAAAGCAATATTATTATTAATATTATTATTCAAACTGGGTCAAGCTGTTTTGCCATTTCAGGCATGGATTCCTGATTCTTTTGCAAGGCCTGGTTGCTGCAGCAACCACAGAAAGCATTTGTCATGGCTGTTCTTGGGACAGATTCAAAACCCTGGGATTGAACGGGAGAAGTGAAGAGTTGGAAAGACGGGGCAAAGGGATGTCGAGAAGGGAGGCAGACGGGAATTGCCGTACGTGGCTAAAGGCATCCTTCCCTGTAGTGGATCAGAAACATAAATCAGCTGGATAACCATGTGTCAGAAGTGACAATGAATCTGATGGGCAGCGCCTTCGGATCATTGATCCGGAGCCAGGCATTCTGGGTTGCTCATAGTGTTCTTGCCAGTGAGGTTTAGTGGCACACCACCCTAACAATGCCAATCTCATATAGACATCTGAAGACACTGAAGTAGCCATACGCTATGTATTTATCTAATTCCCTTTTAAGGTCGCCTGGGTCTAGCTGGCCATCTTCAGTGAGATCTGTGAAGGCCTGAGTGGCCGTTCCACGGCCAGCAAAGTGTTACCAGGTAATGGCGCATTAGCAGGGTCTTTTTGGTTCTGGCACCCAGTCTTTGGATTCCTCTCCCTCACGTCATCTGAGAGATGGAAATATGCCTAGTTTTTCCTGAGTGGTTCAGGCAGGCTTCCCCCTGGCCTCTGTCACCATCCTGTATTGCTGCCAAGAGTGCAACCGTGTTTTCAGTGTTTTTAATGAAGTATCCCTTTGTCTTGTTTTTGTATTTCATACTTTATTTTGTTGTGAAGCTCTCACTGACAAGTCATGGCTATTTTTGCGCAAAAACAATCAAATAAAACCTTTGTCAGTTGCAGAGAAATGAAAATTAAAAGTCGTCTGTGTATACATGTATCACATGCAATTAAATTCATGTCTGCTGAATGTGCATTTACTTTTTCAGAAGTATTAACTTGAAATTGATCACGTCATCCCAGTCGCCCCCTCTAGGATGGTGAGGGTCTTTGAGAGAGTCTGAGAAACCAAGAGCAGAGTGGCCAGGAATCCAGACGAGGCTGGTCCTCTAGGGGGGCCACCCAAGGTGGATGGGTCAAAGCGAGGAGACCAGGCTAAGATGCATCCACCTCATTCAGGAGAAATGATCACGTCAGCAGAAGAGAATGGGTCTCTCTAAGCTGATAGGGCCACTCTAAGTCAGGGACAACTGATAGCAACACCAGCTGATCCAATCAAGGAAAAAATATTCATTTCAAATTATGTTCTTGACCTGTTATTCCTTGCACCCCTGGGCTCCTCCGTTTAGGAGGTTAAATGCCTTGATTTGGGGAGGGGTCCTACAGAAGCCAGGGCCGCATTCCGAGAGCCAGGCTGTGCATGTGCTTTGTCAGCATTCCTTTGACAGACACTGATCCATCTTTCTCCCTCTCCAGCACTGCCAGTAACTCGAATCGCAGCACTCCCGCTTGCTCCCCTATCCTGCGCAAACGCTCCCGGTCTCCAACACCACAGGACCCCCAAGGAGACGCCATGGTGGAGAAAGGCTCAGACCATTCTTCAGACAAATCTCCTTCCACACCGGAGCAAGGCGTACAGCGCAGCTGTTCTTCCCAGTCGGGTCGTGGTGGGACCAAGAATTCCAAGGTGAGTGTAGGCACCTCTTTCGTCGTCCAATGGAGAGCGGTGTGCTCACAGCGGCTCGTGCATCTTTTCATTCTCACTCCAGCTGTATGTTTTCTTTGCTCTCTGCCAAAATGTTGGGGCTTGGTTAGGTCTCATCTCTACCTTGAGCACCCATACAGTGCACACATGCGCGCGTGCGTGCGCATGCCCACACACACACACCAGTGCTTTTGGCAAACTGTTCATGGTTGCCACGGAGTAATTCATGCAGAATGACCAAAGTTCCTTTCCCCTAGCTTCTGTGCCAGTTCCAGGAAACCGAATCTAGGTATCATAAAGCTTGCTAGCTACCTTGTGCAGATCTTCTGGACCACGCCTTTGCTAACCACTTTAGAAATGGGGAAGGGATGGCGGGTGGACAATAACTTAGGGGCCCGGCCAGCACCCTGTGTGAACGGAGTGCGAGCTCTAAGAAGCTCTGCAGTGCAGAGTTTTCTTGGCAGAGAAGGCATTTCAGAAAGTGTTCTTTGGAGGCAAAAACAAACAACATGGGGACATTAAAGCATAACAAGAGTGCTGCCAGCCCAGCCCAAAGGTCTTTCTTGCCCAGCATCCTGCTCCCCACAGTGCTGAAAAGGGAAAGGGATGCCACTATGCAGGGCTTGCAACCTTCTTCTGTAGATGCTCCCCAGAAACTTATCTTCAGGGGCTGGATTCCTCTGGTCATGGAGGTAGCATGTGGCCGTCATGAGTGGTAGGCATGGACCATCTTAGCCTCCATGTCTTAATATATTTGGACCCATTTGGGGGCAGAAAAGGGTAGCTTGCCTGTGTGCTGCCGAACATGTGAGGGCCCCTGTCCTTGTATCTACTGGCAATGTCACTTTGGGTCATCACATCTCCTAGATGTTATTGTAACCCACGAGTTAAGCCTATCATAATATTCCCCAGCCTTGGGCTGGACATTTCTCTCCTCCCCATGTGCCTCCAACAGCTCTAGCCAGTGTCACCAGAAGTTGGGGGTGAGGGGAGCTGGAAGCCGGAACACAAGACATGCTGAGCCCTTGTCATGGTGGACGTTTGCTAACCTGAGCCCGGTCTCGTTGAGCCCTCCTGCATCTGTGGACTACATATACTGCACAGATTTGGCCTCTCCCAGCCCACACGTGTTATAAACAGCTCGTAAAAGATAGATCTTCAGTCATGAGAGCGGTAGGGTTTATTAGACTTAATTGGAGACAGCTATTGCTCCCAAGAGGGTTTTTTTCTTCATAAGCAGTGTGCGAAAGAATTGTCATACGTTTTATGGTTCCAGCTGTTGAAGGCTCCCCATTCTTATTTTTAATTATTTTGGTGCCTTTATTGCATTAGTCAACGGGGCCTTATAAAACCCAGATCTGTGTGCCATGAATGAGGAGGACAGATTATTACAGAAGAGAGACAAAGCTTCCTGCTGGAAAAATGCCTGTTGGGATGCGATTTGCAAAGACGAAGTGTCGAGTGGTACACGAGGCAGCACTCTGGGTCCCTGGCTCAGGCTGTGTGAAACACGCTGCCAGGCTGTTGGTAGCAGAGTCTTGATCAGCCTTACCAAGACATACCTCCTCCCATTTTTCTCCACGCTGATTTTGCCAGGCTGAGTACAGAGCAGTGGATCCGAAGCATGGCAAAGGATGCCTATGCCCCTTTCCTCCGAGCTGGCATCCCTCAAGGCAAAGCCAGAGTTTATCAGTTCTGGGAGTCAGCTTTGGTGTGAACGGGTTTGATTTGGAAGGAGTTCGGGTTTAAATCCAGCAGGCAGTGAAACGTTCCATCATGGTTGTCACCATTTATTATTTTTATTTCTTTATTATATGTATATCCCACCTTTTTTCCTTTCAAGGAACTCAAGGGGGCTTATACATTTCTCCTCCTCTCAATCATAACCCTACAACAACAACCCTGTGAGGTAGGCTGGAATGAGAGCCTGTGACTGGCCCAAAGTCACCCAGTGAATGCCAGGCCTGAGTGTGGACTGGAACCTGAATTCCTGGAGTCCTAGTCCCATTCTTAACCACTGCATCATATTACATTTATATCCTAGCTTTTTCCCAAGGAAGCCAACACAGCTTATGCAGTCCTCCTTTACTCCACTTTGTTCCTTGCAACAACAACAACCCTGTGAGGTAGGCTAGGCTGAGAATGAGCTGCTGTCCCAAAGCCCTTCTGAATTATGAAAGAGAAGGGTATATCTCTCCTGTTTGATGTGGATTTGTTTCTTCCAACTTGTGAGTTTGATTTAATTTTGTTTCCTTCCCTGCATGCCTTTTCCACGTATCTCTCTTTAGTCACACAAGCGCCTCTCCAAAGTAAGCCTTCTTTCTTCTCTTTGGTGGACCCCCCAGTAGAGTCCGTCTTTGGTCCTCAGGAGCTTCCTGTGCCGTTATGACCCCCCTCCCCCCGGCATTCCTCCAGAGCTTCTGCGGGGATGTCGGTGACTCCTTCCGTCTCCTTCCTCTGCCCAGACGCTTTTGAGCCGTGAGGCTGGGCTGTCCGTGAGCTCCCCAGCCATGCATGGAGTCCTGTGCAGTTGAAAGCAGCCTTGTGCTTGGGATAAACCCTGCCTAGACCCCAGATTTCCCAAGTCCCAATGCAGCACTCTAACCACTGTGCATTGCCGTCTCCTGATGCACCTGTCCAATGAGGAATTGAATGCGGACATGCCACTGCCTCTCTCTGTTACTCTTAAAAGACACCAGACTGTCTGAAGTTATATGAAGGAGCCTCGTTGAACAGTGCATTGAGTTGGCTCTGAACAAAATTATGAATTGTGCAAGCGGGTCTCCAGGTGGCACAGTGGGTTTTAGTCCTGGCATTGCACTTCTTTGTACTTGGCCTTGAGCCCCAGAAGGATTTCCTGAGAATTGCCACGTTAGTTTGTTGAGGCGATATGAACTGCCATATGCATGGAATATACATAAGCACCATTGAAGTCTCAATTTTTTCTCAGCATAGGAGAGAAAGAGAAGCTGGAAGATATTCAGTGCTACATGATTAACTCAGAATTCACAGAACAAACAAATGAACCAAAAGCTGCCAGTGCAGGGGCTCTTGAGCAATTTTTAATTATCTATTAAATAAGTAAACATGTATCATTTTGTATGAAATTCATCATAATGTATGGGCTGTGAGAGCTGGACCATAAGGAAGGCTGAGCACCGAAGAATTGATTCTTTTGAACTGTGGTGTTGGAGGAGACTCCTGCGAGTCCCTTGGACTGCAAGATCAAATCAGTCAGTTCTAAAGGAAATCAACCCTGACTGTTCTTTAGAAGGTCAGGTACTAAAGCTGAAGCGCAAATAATTTGGCCACCTAATGAGAAGGAAGAATTTATTGGAGAAGAGCCTGATGCTGGGAACGATTGAAGACAAAAGGAGAAGGAGGTGGCAGAGGCTGAGGGGGCTGTATGGGGTCACTGGAGAGGTGGGTGTGGGCTTGGGTGGACTCTGAGAGATGGTGGAAGACAGGAGAACCTGGAGGAACGTTGTCCCTGGGGTCGTGAAGAGTTGGGCACGTCTTTGCAACTGAACAACAACATCAACATCAAACGTGTATCAAGAGCTCTGCAGACTGGGAGAAGAGTTTGAATATTTTCAAATAGGCTTTTTTGTTAAACCAGGGAAATGTTAATTGAACTTAAAATAAGCTAGAGCTCCTTTAGGGAGAAGAAAATATTAAGACATCTGACTCAATATCAAAACATTTAAGAAGTAAAGATTAACTTCTTCCTTAGTTGACTTTGATTTGGAAAATTAAGAGGCATATTCGGCCGGCCAGCCATTCCCTAAACTTTGTCTCTGCCCAAATTTCTGCCTGATTTTTCAAGTGATGGTGTTTGCACTCCGTGATTGGCTTGAATCATGTGATGGTTAAATAAATTTTCTGCTGACAGTTGCTCTCTGGATGAGGAAAGGAAAAGGATGAGTAGAAACAAAATTTGGATCTTGCCAAGTTGCTCTGGAGGGGTGAGGGAACCCCTGGAGCAAATTTGGAGGGGTGTGTCTAGGGGGGAGGAAAGATTGAAGTCCTGTTGCGCAAGTTTCGGTTTGCACGTGCAACAGTGATTGCTCAGGACAGCCTCTGCATGCAGTGGCTGACCAGGCTGGAGGTGTAGAGGGTTCCTTGATGGTCTACACAAAACCTGCAGACTCAAAGAGTTTCGTCTGAAGAACATGTTCAAAGCATTTGTCAGGGAATGTTTTCAGATTTTGGTATTGTGGGGTTTACACAATACACCTGGGAGTGTTGCAAAAAGAGAAAATCTTTTTTTATGTGAAGTTGGAGAAGGAGGGCTTACTGTGCCTAGTATTCAGGTTTGTCTCTCACTCCTGAAATCCTGGAAAGAGAGGCAGAGATATTTGTTGATCCTGAAAGGATGGACAATGCCTTGGGTCTGGTTAAGACCTTCTGGCAGCAAAGAGCAGCAGGGGAGGCTGTGAGCAGGGGTCCACCTGTCGGGCTGGAACAGCATCCTTTCTCCTTTTAGAACCAGTTGCCCTGTTGAGATTTGGGCTTATGGATATAAAGGGTTGTTATGTTTGGTCCTAAAAGAGGCCTCTTTGTCTCTCCAGCTACACTGCAGAGAAATGGGATTTTTAAGGGATGATGCAGCCCATTTTGGACCAGAAACCTGTCGCTGTGTGCAGCTTTGGGTCGGGATCCTGAAAAAGATTCAAGCAGCCGAGAAAGGTCTTGGCTTGTCAAACAGGGTGTACATCCAAATTTTGCTGTTTGCTTCTTCTCCCTCTTTCATTTCTCATGCTGCATCTCAGAAAGCTTTTTTCTTTTCCAAATATAAGATCTTGTAATCTGTGAAATGGGACAACTCTGGACCCATCGTTTTTTACTTTAGTGCTGGCTACTCCATATTCTTCTCCTATTCATCTGCTGTCATGTCACTGTTTTGCCAGCAGAGGGAGACCGTCAAAGCTAAATAGCTGCCTCCTTTTCCCACAAGGCAGTATACTGATTTTTCCCTACGT